TAACACCCCAAAAGTCAGCAGCTTTCCAATTCATTTAGTAAATGGATCAGAACAATAAGCCCAAGTGAGGAATATATTGCCTCCCATATCTAGATCACTAGGCATTGTTTCTCTTTCTTGATTGAAAGAGAGGCTAGATGCAACAATTTGCTGTTAACTTTACAAGAGATATCTCTGCATGACCCACACCATTGGGCTTCTATAAATTTCATTCAGGTTAAGGATTCTTGCATTTTAGCCAGGTTTATTTCCATTCTCTGCCAAACAAATGCTTTACCAATAATTCCTCATGTTCACTTTGTCCAATATGCATAATATTACAAATATAATGGGACACTGCAATACTTTATAGAACAAAAAGGTACTCAAAATCTCTGCCAACTGTGTTGACATCCAGGGTGCTGCAGAGCTGATGTAGGGAAAACCTTACCAGCCAAGTGTGCATTGTTTCTGTTGGGCTTTTTGAATAGATTTGAAGGGGAAAGAAAAGCATTTGTCAAATCAGTAGCTGCATACCAGATACCAGGATGTGCTTTAAACTGTTCAAACAAGTAAACATCTGGCATGCCAGCTGCAGTTGAAAATGCTACTTAAATTTACAGTAATATACAACTATTCTTAAGATACATTAATCTTCTGCAAAGGGAAAATAAGAGTTTAATGGGGTTGTAGTGGAAACTATCAACCTTGTATCATTCAAGTCCTTCATGGTGTCACTTTTTCTCTGCAGTCCCTCCATGAGTACTATATTGTTTTTGACTTACTTTTTTCCCAGGTAGAGGCAACTATAATATCTTTTGTTTGGTTTTTTATCAGCATAATATGCTTAAGCCCATTTATTAGAGAAATAATATGTAGATTCTGGCAAATACCAACTATACTGTATATGTACCCAAGTTATGCTTTCTGCAACTGGTAAATGACCACACGATGGATTCAGAAAACTGTTGGACCCACTGTGAGTTAAAGTGGTTTAAACTCAAATGATTAACAACCTACTCTTACTGGAGAGTCAAATAATTCTTCAGATGTCCTGGATTCTGCCTTAGTTTAGAGCCATTGTTTAGCAGCTCCCAGAATGTTTCAGCATTTCCTTTTTCCCAGTGCTTCCCTTCATAAATGGCTGTAGTTACCCTTGAGGGAGGATGATAGAAAATTTGACGTAAATTTTTTGTAGTGCACAAAGTTCTTTGTCAAAAAGATGCAAACTCCTATTAATTCGGGGGTTTGGCGTCTATATATACTGGCCAAGTCCAGGTTTTTTTTTCTATGAATTGAGGTAGATTTTGTTCATTTTCCCTGTTTTATTTTCTCCTTTTATAAAGCTAATAATAGTTTAGTAAACTTTCTATATATTTAACTCATTATTTTACTTTCTATATATTTAACTTACTATGATTAATTAGCCAACAACATAGGTCTACATGTGTCAGATTATCCTAATCACTGCTTTCTTCTGATGTGCATTGAGATAAATACACTCACTTTGCCTTTGGGAACTGAGAACTGCCACTTAGCCCCTGACATTCCAAGATCCAATTATATGCACTGCATTTTAGTGTCACAGCTGAGTGACTCTAGTCCCATGGTAAGGACTGACATACTGAGAATAACAATGATGTAGCTCTTGAAGGGTACTGTTGCTCTCCTTACCAATCTGTCTAGTTGGGTATTAGTGAAAATTACACTTGCTTGACTCTTCCTTTGTGTAGGAGTACATTTTTCTTGGCAAATTCACTCCCACATTCTCATTTATCTCAGTCTTTGAATACCTTTATTAGTAGTAAACTAAGGGATATCAAGCATCTCCATCTTTTTCAGAGTAGGTCTTCTTTTTATCCATATGTCAGCCAACAGCAAAGTAAACTATTAACACCTTTTTAAAAACTTCGTGAGCTGAAATACTACATATAGAATCTCTGTTTAAAGGGCCTATATCAGGAAGCTCAGCTTGATCAAGGTCTCTATTTTTTGTACTGTTATCCCTTGTTCTAGAAAGTTACTCCTGTATCTCTTCTCCAGATCTATGTGTGTAAGAATTAGAAAATTCAAAAAGTTCTTTGGGAATGTAGCATATCCTCTTGTGGGTCACACTGTGTACCACTCTTTCTTTTAGGGGCCTTGTAAGATTTGAACCTCTTTATAAATCTAGAGGCAAAAGTGAGTGGTTAGGTTGTGTTCCAAGAAGCTTCAGCATTGACTTGCTTGAAATCTGCGTCAGCAAGGATCATTATTGTTCCCATAGACAGCACAGGCTTAGTTTCCTGAGGTACAGGTGGAGAGGCCAGCACCTCACTGGGTGAGGTTGGGATGCCTCTGTCACTCAGGGTCTGGTAATCTCTTCCTTTGGCAAAAATAATCTTATAGGAATTTAGGAATTCAGTGTTCTCAATCAAGTCAGGTTACTTCCAAACACTTCTGGCCCAATTTATGGGACCTTGTTTTCCAATCATCCCCTTTACTTATGCTGTAGATTCCTTTTAAGAATGAGTATCAAATTTGTGCTGTATTTTAGCCAATGACGATATAAAAGGTTTGTGTTTAGTTTTCAGAAAATTCAGGCCTAAGTCTATAAGAGAGAGGATTGTACTTTCTCTTCTGCATTCACTTTGAAACTGACATAGTTTACACATGTGTGGAACTGTTGAGTCTTTTATTTTCTTTTAGTAGTTCGTTCAGAGAAACCAGCTGGCATCATTTAGTTCTTAATCTTCTGATAATATTCGAAGTATTAGATGTAGAGACACTAAAGTTTTTTGCATCTCACAATGGTGAATTAGGATAATCAGATATTATTTTTAAAAGTTCACATGATAAGCTATCAATACTTTCTACATTATCAGAAGGAGAGATTATGGCAACTTTAGGTTTCATCAAATTAGAGATACAACTTCAGGAGCCACTAAAAAACTCAGAGAACACTTCCTTTAATATTATTTTACTATAGAGCCACTCCTGGTATCAAAATCTGAATTAGGATCATCTAGAGGCATAGAATTAATATAAAATATATGTATAATTATGCAAGAGAATTTATTAGATAGGTTTACAGGGTCAGAGGCAGGAGAACCCATAATGGCTTTCTTTATGACCAGATATGAGAGTCCACAGTGGTTGTGCACTGCAGAACCAGAGGATCGAATAGCCTCTCAGCTCAAAAATACCTTTGCCTCACAGGAAAAGGGATCAAAGACACAACATAAGTCCAAGAAACATGATCTCAAAGCTCACTGACAGTTGGTAGTGAGTCTGCTTGGAAAGTTAAAAAAAATCTGGTATTTTGCAACCTATTTCAAAAGCCCGTGGCAGCAAAAGACAGAGCTGTTCTGGAAGGTTTTTAAAATAAGTGCACACTTCTTTGCTTTTTTATTACATACAGTCTACAAGTATATTTGTTTGGTGTCACTCACAACTGGTCATGTTTTCCTTCCTCAGTTTCCTGGCCTATGTTTCAATCATCCACAGATATATAGTCTGCCATTGAGTTTTACTAACCTGATGAGTATTTCTTAATTAATGTTGGAATATTGTGGTTAATGTTCACAGGCATGGTTATTCTTATTGGAATATAAAATGGTTTATACATATTTTGAAACGTCACATTGTACCAAATAAGCACGTATGATTTTGTGTCACTTAAAGATAGATAGACATCTATGTTTTTAGCAGCACGATTTGTAATAGCTAAATCTTGGAAACAATCCAGATGTCCATCAGCTGAGGAATGGATAAAAAAGATGTATTTTTGTACAGTGGAGTGCTACTCTGCCATAAAGAAGGATGAACTTGAGGCTCTTATAAGTTAATGGATGCAACTTAAGTCCACACTCATAAGTGCAATAAATCACTCTATGTGTAAACACTGTGTTGTCGTTCTGGTATAAGAAACTGAAAGGGTAAATAAGGTCTGAAATGTGCAATAAATATTGTGAAATGGGAAGAAATTGTTTAAAATGGAACTGGATATTAGAAAAGGGGAAGGAGGGAAGTGTAAAAGGGAGAGAAATTCAGGTTAGCTATACCATTAGTGTCTCTTAGTTCATTGGAAAGAAAAGTTTCTGCTAATGTCAGTTGGAGAATTTTTCATTCTCATAACTTGTACTCTGAGTAACTACTCTGAGGTGGAGGGAAAGGAAAGAAGATTTTAAAAAAGGAGTTAGAATGTTCTGTACCTCTACCAACTTTCCACAGGGAGTGAAATTAAAATAAAAACAAATGACAAGTTAAAGGCTGGGGGATAAATAAGCAGATTTAAAATTAATGACATTTATTCCTTTATGTCACAACCTTTTAATCATTAATATCTCTCCTGCGACATGGAGAATAACCATCCTGTACATTAGAATATATGAAAGGAAACTTCACTGTCTCAGAAGGCTGCATAATGATACCAGTTATTTACTGAACATACAGTGTGTATTGGATTATGTGCTATGCTCATTATTCAGAATTCTAGTTCTCCACAATAATTCTGCAAGTATCCTGTTTTCAGATTAATGTTCAGTTTAAGAAATTGGAAGATTAAAAGTTGTAGAAACTACCCTGGGACACACACGCGTTCAACAAAAAAGCCATATTTTTAATCCCAGATGGGATCTAATATATCTCTTCCTTTTATTCGCGTTCCCTCCCCAAAGAGATAATAAATCACTTTGAGTCTAATGTTTCTGTTTTATTTTGTTTAGTAACATGTAGCATGAAGTAAATGTGCACGTGTGCTTGTTGAGTTAAGAAACAAATGTGAACACGTGTAAAATGTGAAAGCAGGCCAACAGTAATTGTGTATTTGGGTATACATTTATCCTTGAGATAAAATGCTACTTTAAAAGAAAGTCTATGAGTAAATTCTTGATTTCAAAAAGTATCAAATTTTGTCTACTTAAAGGAAATAACTTTATAAAGCATTAACTGTAAAATAAAATTCAGGAACCAACTAATAAATTAACTGATATCGCTCTCAATTTAAATGGATTACTTCTGCTTTTTTGATATATGAACAGGAAATGAGCTTTGACTTAGGCACCTGGAGGAAGAGGCCCGGGTTCACGCTGTAAGCCTCCTGTAACCTGCAAAGACCTTCCAGTTGCGCCAGGATCATTCAATTGAAGTAAGACCTAATTACTTTAATTACAATGTAAGGCTTTTATTCTTGAATCAACTTTTAATAAGGTTTCTTGGCATATTTTGTAGTGTGGCAATAGCAGCTAATTTTGAAAAAAGAAGAATGCACACATTATCCAAGGGCAAGATTATATTATTTCAATTTCTATTCATCTTATACTTTATGGACTTCAGCCCATTTTCTTTCGATAGTGCTATATAAATATTTTAATTTCTGCATGGCTCTTTGGAATTGATACAAACTCTTTGCCTTTGTGTAGATCGATTTTATACAATTATAATTGTTATTACAACTACATTATTTTCTTTTTTGTTAATTTGGCTCACTGATTTTATAGACAAATTACAAAAATGAAGCAATTTGTGTCACAATGCAACATAGCTTCTTTTTTTGTTGTTTGTTCGTTTTTTTCTTTTCAACCTTATATAGATATTTGATCTTTTGAAATACTTCTCTATATATACCTGATGTAGGCTATGTACTTTTATCCACTAATTTGAGACATATCCTGAAAGAGAGTTTGCAGTTTTTCTTGGAATAGCTCAACTTGGAAGCAGGTAGGGGGCGGTATTATGCAATTGAATTACTTTTTATTTCTACAGTACTAGCTATCATCAATATTCAAATGCTTGCTCTGGTTTATCACATATAATGTTTTACATGCTTCAAATTATTCAATAGCCTCCAAAATAGAAGGGAAACAAAAACAAATCCAATGTGTCAACCAAAAAACTTTAGAACCATAAGTGAGTCATGTATGTTACTGAGAATTTTCTTTCCTCCAGATTTAGAGATTAGATTTAATAAAAAATGATATCAAGTTTATGTGATTTAAAGGCCAGGCAGATAATGTAAATTTATGAAAGTTTTAGAAGGAAGGAGCAGTACCCATAATAAAGCCATTCAGATTCAAGCATTTTTAAGTATACAAATAAATTGGAGCGGGGCTCGGAGTGAGTTGGGGCACCAGGAAGATTGCGTTTGGTCACTGGATTAGAAAAATTATAAATCTTTTCTAACGAAATATATGACTATAAAATTGCTACTATGTGAAACACATTTTTGAGTCCGATATAGATTCTTTTGTAGTAAAATATAAATAAATTTAGATTTGAATTTCTCTCAATTCTATAGTAAAAACAGACTAATGGTGACTTTTTAACAAGAAAATTCTCTATTAAATGGTTTAGGAGTTTAGTGTTTCTTTGGGTCATTATTTTTCAATTATTGGCCAGGAATAAGAACTTTGAGTCTACTACAGTAGACTAGATTAGATTTGAGTCTACTACAGTAGACTAGATTAGAGTAGTTTAGATTATAATCTAAACTTTAAATTATTGGTTAGCATCTTCTTTTTAATTAATATTTTTATTTTTTAATTAATTTTATTGTTACATTTTATATATACATATATATATCTTATTCATCATAGGAGATTTGTTCCTTTTACATATCTTGATTCTTCTTGTTTTCTAGTCCTTTCCCTTCTTTAAACCCTTCTTCCGCTCATTTACATAGTTTTCTTTTTTTATTTCTCCCTCCCTCCCTCTCTTCTTTCCTTCCTTCCTTCCTTCCTTCCTTCCTTCCTTCTTTCCTTCCTTCCTTCTTTCCCTTGCTTCCTAATTCCCCTTCCCATTTGAATATTTCTTTCTTATTTCATAATATTTGTTACACATCGTGGTCTTTATTTTCACTTTCCAATTCTTGTATCGAAGAAACTAGGCAATATTTGAACATGCATGTGTCAGGTATTACACTTAAGATTGTGGTCTCAAAGTGCATCTATTTACCTAAAAATGTCTCAAGTTTATCCTTCAGAGTAGTACTTCATTGTATTCAAAAAAGACACATTTTCTTTATCCATTCATCAATTGATGAGCAGTTGGACTATTTCTAATATTTAGGCATTACAAACTCTGCTGCTATAAACATCGGTGTGCATGTCTTGGTGGTTTGATGCTCTTAATTCTGTCTGGATGATACCAAGGAGGGGAATAGCCTGGTCAAGTGGAACTACTAATTTTAGTTTTCTGTGGGATCTTCACAGTGATTTCCACATTGGCTGCACTATTTTATACTCCCACCACAGCGGAGAAGCCCCCTCCCTCCACAGGTCTGCCAGCCATTTGTGTTGGTGAGTTTCTTGATAGTAGTCATTCTTTCTGAAGTGAGAGGGAATCTCAGTGCTGTTTCAATTTTCATCTCTTGACTAGTTATACTGAGCACTTTTTCCTATATTTATGTACCATTTGTATTTCTTCATCTGAGAAGAGTCTATTCATTTTGGATGTCCATTTTTGGATTGGGCCTTTAAATTTGGTAGATTGATGTTTTGTTTGTTCTTTATATATTCTATATATTAGTCCTTTGAGGAGCAGCTGGCAAAAAACTTTGCCCACCCTGTTGGTGATTTCTTTGTTTGCTATACAAAAGCCTTTTAAAAAGACGAATCCCAGTTGTTGAATTTTGTAATATTTCCTGTGTGACTGTGTTGTATTCATAACGTCTTTGCCTATGTCTTTGACCAATCCACTTATTCTAGTACTAACAGAAAAACTAAACATACTACACTTTTATCAATACTGTCCAAAAGGGCGGAATACTTAGCACTCAATCTAATGTAGGAAGTAAAAGAGCTTTACATTGACAACTAAGTACACTGAAAAAGGACATTGAAGAGATTATAAGAAAATGCAAAGATAGCTCTCATCCTTGGGCTAGAAGAACCAATATAGTGAAAATGGATTTAATACCAAAATTGTTATACAAATTTAATGCAATCTTGAGCATAATACCAATATCTTACTTCACAGAATTAGAGAAAATAATCCTGAAATTATTTTGGAACCAGAAGAGACCTAGAATAGCAAAATTAATTTTGGGCACCAGGGCAAGGCAGGGTGCATCATAATCCCTGACTTGAAATTATACTTATAAAAGCTACTGTGATAAAAGCAAACAAATAAAAAACCCCAGCAGGGTTACTGATAAACAAACAGGCCTTAGGATCAAAGGAACAGATTAGAAGATGCAAAAACAACACCAACCAGACTTAGCAGCCTTATCTTTGAGAAAGGAACTAAAATGTTCAATGGAAGAAAAATAGCCTCTTTAATAAAATGGTGCTCAAAAACTGAGTTTCCAATGCCAAAGAGTAAAACTAGATCCATTATCTTTCACCAGGAACTAAAGTAAACTTAGAATGTATCAAATATTTAGTATTAAAACATAACCACTAAATCTGCTAGAAGATAGAGTAGGTGGAACTGTCTTAATTAATATTTTCACTGAAAAATCACGTGAACTCTTAAAGTGTGGCAAACCACTAGTTTGGGCCTAGTTAATGATCCTTTAAGAAGTACTTAATATCCTAATTTATTTTTATTAATATCAACTAATATTCTAGTTGAAACATTATTTCATGTAAGCAAAATTAATATTGGTAATTTAAATTTACTTCTTAATATAATTTCTAGCTTCATCAGCTGTACTTTCCCTTATTACATCAATGGTATATATTTTATTCATTTATTCACTCACTAGTATCTTTCAAACCTATTGGCTGGGAACATCAGTGCATTTTATCTGAAGCTAATACTAGTTGGGCAACAGGCCTAGTAGAAGATGACAAGTATGGAAAGTCAGTATACCTGGGGCCTTGTCTATTTTCTTTGGTTTTAATTTGTTAGACTTTATGTAGAATGGAATCTAGAGATTGTAAGACGTGGGTGTTATCTCATTGGTAGTGGTAAATTAGAAGGGATTGCTATCTTTGTGGCATAGTTGAACCCTTCCCAAATATCCTCTCTCTCTCTCTCTCTCTCTCTCTCTCTCTCTCTCTCTCTCTCTCTCTCTGTCTTTCTCCTAGATATATGTATATGTATATGTATATGTATATGTATAATTTTCTTTCATGAAAATATCCTAGTGTAGACAGGGTCAGTTTCCTTCTGGTGTGAGTTGTTTGGAGAATGAGCATGTTCTCTGAGGCTGAACGTTTCATGTGTTTTTTTTTTCTGTGTGGTAATAGAAACTTGCATGGCCTTCTGATATGTAATCTCAAAATAATGTTTTAAGAGGCTTTTGCATAATGTTACAGTCCACCCATGTTCTGAAAATTTTGGGTATCGGCTGTCCACTTTCTTGTTTTAGGTAAGTCAAAAGTGAAGAGCTGCTTAGATCTTTTCCTATTTGATCCACAATATCATGTATGAGCTATATATACATACACACACACACACACACACACACACACACACACACATATCTTCCCCATATATATGTATGTATTCACTTCTAGTATACGCGCTGAAGAAGTAAAAATACTAGCAATGAAGGTTAACACTATGTGACGAGGTATTTTAGTAATTTCACCTTGTGTCCACGATTATGTGGTATAGATATTTATAGAAATAATAAATTATAAGTACAATTAAGCATTTTATTTATTCTTTTTAAGAAATAAATTCATACATGTTTAATTGCAATGCTTTGATAGCAGAGTTTATGGACAATGCACACATTTAAACTACAAATCTATGTTTTATTATCCTGTCAGAGAATTGTGATATGGATAATCCATTATGTAGCTCACTGATTCCCAATATGAAAATAAAGTAATAGAAGTATCATTTCAGGTGGTTAATTGCTACCTTTCTTATTTGTAATTTTTATCATTGTGTCTGAAACTAAGCATTTAGATTTGAATAACTTTTATGCTATGAAAGATACTCTGATACCCACATAGCAGAAGTTCACCTTTAACATTTTGTATTAGTTATGACTTTCAAATAAAATGTTTAATTAGAGTCAAATGAACATTGTTTTAATAACCCAAGAAATAGTGAGCATAAATTACATTTTTACAAAACATATGACAATGGAGTTAAGACTACTGTAATTCCTGTGTGAACACTGCGGTTTGAAAAATTTTATAAAATATTCTTTTTATCCAAATTTAATTTAAAGTTTAATGCAGTAAAGTT